CGAGAGTGGTCGATACATGGAAACTGTTGGTTAGCAAGATATCTTGTCTTGTCGCGTCATGGGATTGCATGCTGAAAATTCACCTTGTTGCTAGGTTGGATGAGTAAGTGAGCAGTTCGCAGCCACAATACAGTCAGGTAACACTCCTTCAGGTGCTAAGCTCGACAGCCACAACTCGAAGAAGAACATCACCTTCACTCGCCGATACCTCGATCCTAACCGCGTGACTTACGAGGTATTTTCCTATGAGAAAGGCTCGACATCGATCATGCAACTGATTACTTGGATGAATACAGTACCACACGCGCCGCAGCAACTTCTCATTCGACACTCTGCAAGGGGAACTAATCACCAAGGGCCTGAACGAGCTGGCCAAGCGCTTCGACCTCGGTCAGCTCTTCGGTACCGCACCTCAAGACTACACCATTAGCCAGTCGCCCTTCCCGTCCAACAACTCCCTCCTCTCGCTCTTCGCGGCTGAAGCGATGCCGTACGCGCTCACCGTGAACAACTCACGTGCGGGCGTGCCGAACATCATGATCACGAACTCGGGCTCGCAGCGCTTCGACGTGTACTCGGGGCCGTTCACGAAGAACGACCAGCTCACCGCGTCGCCCTTCGCGGACTCGTTCCTCTACATCCCGAACGTCACGTTCTCGGTCGCGAGTAAGGTGCTCCCGGCGCTGAACAACGCAGGCGCGAACGAGCGGAGAGAGCTCCACGAACGCGAGCGCGAGCTGTACGCGCGTGGGGAGGTTGAGATGCGCTATCTGCAATGGCTTGAGGAGATGGACCGCCGAAGCAATGGACCAGAGCGTCGTGCTGCGCAGAATGCGACTCTGGGATACGTGACTCACGATGTGCGTCAATCGTCCGGCTTGCGTGGTGCATATCACCCTGTTGGATGCTGATCTGAACAATAGGACTGCCCCGGAGTAGGCGACGATGTTCTCCACGCACCTCTGGTATGCATGGAGTCCTAATGCAGACTCACACGTACTAACTTCCCACCCAGCCCTTCTATGACACGCCCGACTTCATCGGCTCGAACCCGCCCGACGTCTCAGACGACACCCCAGTCGACCTCGTATTCGTCGACTTCATCGAGGACCAGCTCCTCGAAATCCTCAACGGGCTGCAGAGCGCGAAGAAGTACACGACGGCGGACGTGCAGTCGTACACGGACGTGCTGGCCAATGCTGTCCTCGGCTTGTACGCAGAGAGGTACTGGAACTAGCTTCGGTCCATAGTATACATGCTAGAGAATGCATGATGGTGGTATGGCCACGAGGCTTCAATGCATGTCCCCTCAGGCAGGCTCAAATAACATATAGGAGGCGCAGCTGCGCTGTACCATTCGCGTAATGAATGCGGTCTTGGTATTTCCATCCGTGCCGGAACCCTTCCAGGCGGCCCGCCCATCCACCCCCGTTGCATTGGTTCGGAGCTATTTACAGGACAGCCATGGCTTCCTGCTCCGGCACTCACGTATGCAGACGCACTTGGTTTCGCACTTGACAATGAACTTTGAGGCATGGCTGGTACGTGAGAAGGATATTCTTGCCTTGTGACCGATTTGAAAGCTTATACGCCTATAGGTACTGTAGTTGGACACCCAACACATACCCCTTTGGTCTATCCGCCAGCGGCTCAGTAAATACTTTCACCTGCTTGGGCGCTCCGGGGCTGTCGGAACGTCTCTTGTTCATCTCTGTGGCGGATGTTGTTCGCCACTGGCGTGAGCAACCTAACGCTGTCCCATTCTGACCCATCTCGATCTCAGCCAAGATATCAACCTCTCTGTGCTGCTCAGGTTACTCGTATCCGACACTACCGTGTATTTGCTCAGTTATATCGCGATGTCAAGGAGCTTATGCGTCTACAACGTACCCATGGCCCTCGACTCCGAAAGGCTGCGATCACATGGCCTCGACCCGTTGCTTGCATACTCTCGCAACAGGTGGCATGTGCAAGAGTCGCGGAGATCTACTCTTGGCCCTATACCACCCGTCAGGTTCATTGACGAGTTTCTTTCGGCAGGAAGGGCTGAGAGACACGGTATGCTCTCGTATCAGAAGGCATTCGCCTCTGTTCCCAAGCGTGCCGACACGCCTGAGCAGATATACCAACCACTCGTATGTTCTATATATTTCTAGTCTAATTCTGAGATATCGTGGGCATGGGTGGATCTGATGTACTCAAACGCGTAGGTCCTGGCGTTGAACAAGAAGACGGCTTCACATTCTAGGTGTCCAGAGATGATATTCTCCAAAACCATCGAACGCAGCATTAGACCCGAGCGACTGGGTCACACAAAGCCGCACATATCCTGCTTCACGAAAGAGAACATTCATCTAATAGAGCAGGTAAACCGGGAGTCTCGTGAAGAGCTCGGGTACGCCGAGATGATAATCCAGGTCGCCCCCGATGCATCTCTAGACTACTTCACCGACCCTGATCCCAAAGCGAGTGCGGAAACTCTTGCCGCACATAAATTTGCTCGTGAGGTGGATGATGACGACGAGGCCTATAGGCAAGCCGAGCATGCCTTCGGCCTCCACATTGCCTTCGTGACCGAAATCTTTGCTCGGCAGCAGCGGACCTTTCTCTTCACTGTCGCGGTGTGCGGCTCGTCTGTGCGGTTCTTTCGCTGGGATCGTGCTGGCTGCGTCGTCTCTGAGGCCTTCGATCTTCATGAACGGCCGGAGCTCCTCTCCGAGTTCCTTTGGCGGTTCTCCCATCTCAGCTACTGGAGCCGAGGCCATGATTGTACCGTCACGCAGGCGACCGAGGCTCAAGGACGCCTGTTTCGAGCCACCATCAGACAGCATGTCGCTCTCCAGTTGGACCTCTCCGGCGATGAGCTGGAAAAGGCAGTGCTTGTTCACCACCAACCAGGCCATGCTATCATCCTCCGTGTTGACCCCCAACAGTGTAACGGACCGGACCCGGCGTCGCAGCAGTACATTGTCTCTCGGCCGACAGTCACGCCGCTACAGTTGAGTGGCTGTTGCACGAGAGGGTACTGGGCCGTAAGCGTCGATACGGGCAAAGTCGCCTTTGTGAAGGATACCTGGCGATCATATTCGTTGTCCGACAAAGACGTGGAAGGGGATGTCGTATGGAGGCTGAACGATCTTGGGGTCCGCAACATTCCCTCCCTTCGATTCCACGGCGATTGCTTTCTGAGCCCGATTGGACAGCGCATGGCCGCCGGTGAGTGTTATAGCAATCTGGTGTCTCTTGATTGCTGTTGATCACGCATGTGGTCAGACAGGATGTGCCAGGAGACCAAAACTCACAAGTACAACAAGGAGCCCTGGGCGCTTCTAATCGACGGGAAAGCCGTCCGCGTTGGTAAACAGCGACACTACCGGCTAGTCACAGATACTGTCGGCTACAGCCTCAGATGTGTGCAGGGTACTGAAGAGCTTTTGCATTCCACGCACGATGTTCTCTTAGGTGAGAGGTTTTGGAACTTCGGCGAGGATGCTCGCTGACACTCCAATTGAGCCATGAAAGACGCACTCGCAAAAGACGCCCGTATTCACAGAGACATCAGCATAGGGAATATTATTCTCGTCAAGGAGCCTGATAGCAGGATACGAAAGGGCTATCTCATTGACTGGGATGCATCCGACCGCGTTAACGAGAAGGGAGAAGCTCTGCAACCCGGACGAGCAGTAAGTGCCGGTTCATCCTGTTATGGACGTAAACGCTCACCTTGACATAGGGCACCTGGGCTTTCATGTCCTATCGAATGCTGGAAATTACGGGACAGTCTGAAGACAGCCACACATTCAAGGACGACCTCGAAGCGCTTCTATACGTCGTGTTCTACTGCGGCCTCATGTATCTTCCTCATGACCTGACGGACGAAAGGGTCACATGGCTTTACGGAGAGTTCTTTGAACGCTCCGACATGTACGGATCCGAGAAGTACGGCGGAGACGCGAAGAGAATGAACGCGCGAGGCCGTCGGTACACTCGCAAAATCACTTTCGGTGACCCTGCTTTCGCGGAATGGCTGACTACTGTCATGGACTACCATAGCCCACCGGCAGAGCTCCAGGACAAGTACAAGGACTGCTGGGACGGAGACCATCTGGACGAGTTTTGGTCCCCCTTTTTAGCGACACACGAGTTGGAGCGACATAATCGCACCGTCCATCGTGTCTTGGATTATCGCCTCTACGACCCCAACTCCCTCCCAACTGCGTCCGATGATAGCACGCCCTCTACCCCCGACCGAGAAGCTCGCCCCAAGCGCGCTATTGGAGAGCTTGGGTCGGACACCGAGGATGGACGCGAAACAAAGATACATCGTCGCTCCAGCGCGCGTAATCCTGCGACTGCCCCACCTGCTCTCACGCCTCCTCCTCCGATTGCAACTGCTTCGACTCCGCTCCGTCGAAGCAAGCGCATTCACGAACAGAAGACACGGGAGCGCTTGAAATTACGCGCTGCCTCGGTAGACGCTGTTCCGCCTCCTGCGCCTGCATCTCGACGGCGTGGGTCCCGCGGGCGTGCTCGAGGTCGCTCTCGCAAGTAACCCGTTGCACTGATCACCTCGGTACCTGGCCACCTAAGTACAGCCATGTCACCCCCGGAAATCCATTTGAAACGTGCCTTATATGTTTTCGCTGTCGCTGTCGAATATCCACCTTATGCGCATATGCCATCGTCGCTGTCTCGTTCTCTGCTTGTGTATCCGGCCATTGCAAAGTTGTAACTTACCAATCGATGCACCGATTCTCAAGTTCCGTCTGTACTCGGTTGCTCACGTTGTCAATTCTGTCTTCGAAACTGTCCCAATGCCCGTTGCAACTTGAAACAACAAATATTGATTACAGGGTGCACTGAGCCCCATAGAGCTCGACGGTCTCTCCTCGTTGGCGACTGGCATGCGCAACGTTGGACGCTCACAACCTGCGTCCTGACCTCTGCGTTTACATGATAACAATATTCAAAACGCATCACGCGCATTCCGGCAAAAGCATTGGACATGTCCGGGATTGAACCGGACCCCTCTCGCATGCAACTGGAGTTTTGCTCGATGGACTATGCTAAGCGAGCGTGATAACCAACTACACCACATGCCCGTGCGAAATACCCTTTTGACGCTGTTCTCGGAACGTACTGTGATATTATTATTGAGACTCTCCGGCACGTAACATCTTCCAGTGTACCATGGAGCTCTGAGGATACCGTGCGGTGTATTGGGGAAGTATAAATACGCGGCGTGGAGGAGGGGATGTCTTGTGGACAATGGTAACGAGTACTATTAAGAAGCTTGAACAATCGAAATATGATTCTGAGTACGAGCCATTACTATGACCGACCAGTACTACTAGTACTCCGAAGTAAGGAACGGACGCGATCACGAATGCGACGCGGATGGGATTATATGTGGCAGCTTGAACAAAGGAATGAGGGTAAGGTATATAGTGACCGCGGACAATTATTCGATCACGCGATCAGATGTGGCTACTTATGTAGTCACAGCCAACGACTATGCATGCACGTAGGACTGTGCCAGTGGGGTGCACTTTGACCGCACTTGGTAGTGCCTGGCTGATGGACGAAATGCCTTCCCAACGCAACCCGCACCTGTGGGACAGCATGAGTAAGCCGTTATTTAGCTGATACTTGGCGTATTACTCACAAAACACGATCAGATTGCACAGAGAGGGCGTAGGCTCAATCGAGATCCTCGACGGCTGGCGAATTGTCCACAGTGTGGACATCTGATGCATCAGATTGAGTATCGGATTCGAGCCCTGCAGAGACCTCAGAGTCTTCGGGTTGCTCTGATGTTTCGGCACCGGATTTCTCGGTGGTGAAGACCGTCTCGGCCTCGTCCGAAAGAAGACGGTCCGGACTCCCACCTACAGACATTGTGTCTGCTGCAGAAGGGAGACTGTCGTATGCAGCCTGGACACCTGTAGCAGTAGGTGTTCCAGGCGACGCAGAGCTAGTGGGAACCTCGAAGAGGCATCCCATTTGGCGACACCAACGCTTGCCGTACTGATGTCGTCCAACGAATGGTGGTCAGGAAGGATTTCGGAAGATATTTTCGATCATTAGACGAACTCACGTTGTACGCCAATACGCCTTGCGGAGAGCCGACAGGTGCAGCGGATGCAATCTGGAATACTATCATGACATGTTAGCGTCATGATTGAGAGACTTCTGAGAGGGCGAGAGAGCGATGAACGTACCACCGGCAAAGAGCGCGGAGATAGCGAAGGCACGAGTGATGATAAATATGGCAACCATTTTGACTGGGGGATAGAGAGCGAAAGAGGAAAGGTGGAATTAAAGCTGCCCTCTCAAAGCGTAGGTTGAAAGAAGGACAGTCAGTCAAAAGAACGAAAGAGGGGCAAATGCTGCTGCTCACCTCTGAGCGCAGTGCAACACCGTTATATAGATTTTGGAAGGCCTTGGCGCCATTCTGGGCGCATGAGCTTCGAGCAGCTCTCGTCACTCGGAGCCCAAGATGCTTGCAAGTTCCATCACGACCTCGCGGATGGAATGCGTTTCAGACACTCAAGAATCTCAGTTTCTGTCGCATATCTGCATGAACAGCGTCAAGGATGGCCACTATTTCTTCCGTGAATCACACGGTGTGGCTTGTGGGCGTAAGTTCCTTGTCCATCATCAAATTGGATTTGCGGGCGCGACACTCTGCAGTGGTGGATTAGGGCGATGGTGAGCGTAGGATGGATGCGGTATTGACTCACTGCCGCGTGAGCATGGCGCCGAGCGCAACCACTGCATGATGATTTGCAGACAGCGACCCTCTGGAATGCGAGCGATGTTATGAACTCCGGGATAAGCTTAAGACCCGCCTGTCCACAGTGGCCACTGCACTCCAAATCCCGACTTTGCCAAGGACTCGCGCGGCGAGCGGGCGCCATGCCGCATGGTCGACAAGTTTGGGGGCGCGGCGCTCTGACTATAATAGGGACATGGCAAGGTACGATGAGTATACACAAACGCCGCCAGTCAATCGCATACGCGCATGCCACCTCATGCCACGCACCACGTCGCCGCCGAACGTGATCATCCGGATAGTAAGCAGAACCTAGAGCATAGTACTGTGATCGGGAGATGATCTGTGGGCTAGATATCAGCGCCGGGAGAGGAAGACATAGAGAAGGATACGAAAGGCATCAGAATAAGATCGTTGGTATTGTATGTGGGCCGGAAATCGACCAGTTTGCATCATGTCCCCTGGCCAGGGGTTTCCGTGAGCCTCATGTTCCGGCGCTGCCTACCAATCTTGCGATCTGCATGCCCCGAAAGCGGTAGCCCCAATGCAAGTGCCTGCAGTGTGAGACGCTTGAGCAACGCCGCTCGCGGCCAACTGCCAATGTGATGAGTAGGAAACGCCTGGCAGCGGCGGGCACACCGCACGCGCGCCCAGGACAAGGATAGAAAAATGGACATGTCCGGGATTGAACCGGACCCCTCTCGCATGCTAAGCGAGCGTGATAACCAACTACACCACATGCCCGTGAATTAGCGCTTGTCTTGCTGTAGCACATGCTCAGCGCCAAGGCGTCTTGGACTGCATCATCCCAAAGGCCGCCGCTGAACGAGTCGCCAGCCTTCTGCGTGACCTCGAGAGCTATGTTCCAACGAGCCTTACAAGGACGGTAGAGTTTTTTCATAGGATGTGATTACGCCGGGATAAGCACGGCCGATACAGAGACGAGTAGTAATACAAAACAGCGAGAACGACGGTGAACACAACAAGGACGACTGAACGAGTGCGAACTATCTACGGATGCGATGAATAACTGGACGGCTAGTGATACACTGAGACAACGACGAGGGATAACGATAGCTATATGGATACTACGACTGCTATGTACGGCTGTAACGGTGGGAAGACTCTGACAGAGTCCGGCGCTTGAGGACAAGGGAAGGACAAGAAGCGCAGATGGAACGGGGAGTAAATGAACGCGGCGGGGGAGAGTGAAGGGTAACCGAGTTGGCCAGGGTGTGCGTTTGCGGCCAGAGGAGAATAACGCAAACAAGGCTTCGTAGAAGAGTCCAATCCAGGAAGCGTTGATACAGCCAGATAGGAAGGGGCGGTAGCGATGGCGTTCATGCGCGTCTCGGACTTTTCGACCCACCAGTGCGCCGTATCTGGCCGGATGCGATGCGAAGCCATGCCATAGGCGGTGAAGGTATCCAGAAGAGACTGCAAAAAGGAGCGCAAAGAAAACGAGTGTGAGGACGGATTGTCCGTGTGTTTTAGGGGCGGATGGTAGGTGGCGACTTGGAGTTGATGGGTGAGGGTCAGACTGAGGGAGGAGCATCGACCTTAGATGACATGCCTCAGTTCATGCTCCATAGCACTAAAGGAACGAATGAACACACCTCTGCACTGTTCACTGTACTGTACCCGACGACTTCGACAGCTGGCGGAGAAGCAGGCTCTTCCGTAGCAACCACGGGAGTATCCGATTCCGGAGTACCGACAGTATCGTCCATGGAACTGGAGGCAACGTCGCTATTCGGGGCGTCCTCAGAGGTCATCGCGTCTACGACCGAACCGATGACCGCTGCCAGCGTATCGTCTTCCATGGACTCCGGAAGATCGGCCGCGTCGTTCGCAGGAGAGGGTAAGGAGCTCGAGGACTGCTCTCGCAGGGTCGACGCGGCGGATTGTAGCGCCGAGATCAGGATGTCGATGACTTGTAGGGCAGAGGAAGATGCGGGCGAAGAGGAGGGGTCGATGGAGGAATTCGTGGAGTTGGCTGCACTCGTACTAGCCTCGGGAATGGCGTACAGGCAGCCCATTTGGCGGCACCACCTCGGAGAGATGGACTTCGCTGCCGCGGTGGGTACTGGTGCGGCGTACGTCACCGGGAACGCTATAGAGAGACGAGGATGAGATGGATTTCTCAGGTGAAAGACGTCAGTAGTGCTCACCTCCGACGAACATAGCAGAGATCGCAAAAGTGCGGGTAAGGATAAACATCGGCGCCACCATATTGAATCAAACAGCTCAAGCCCACTTATTCAAAGAACGAAAGAAGTATTAGAAGTGGGTGCAGCAGCGGCGGAGAATTGCTCAGGACAGTTTGGGCAGGGAGGGCGGGATGGCCCGGTTGTTCTGCAAGGGGGATGGACTGGGAGGGGTGAGCGGCGCTGGGAGGCCTGTCATGCGCCCCTCTTCCTGTGATTTATACAACGTTGCATTGATTGATGGTCGCCCGACGTTCACGACCCAGTGGAAGCGCAGGGACGACTTTGAGCTGAAGGGCATCGCCAGCTATAGGGCCCACAAAGGACTGGTCAGATATGGCAACTGTCTGCGACAAGTCCAGTGCACCGCGTATACGGCACGATGCCCCCGTGCGACTCCGGTTGCGGAGTCTCGCGTGCGAACGGCTGGGGGAGCTCGGGAGATGGGCATTCAGTTCGGAGGGCGTTTATGATGCGGGTGGTGGAGGCGATCGCCCAATAAAGCAGAGTCTTTGTGGCATGGCCGCGGGGACTTGACGTCTACGCGACAAACAACAAGTTCCAAATCCGGGAGCGCACAGAATCGGGCACCGAATCTGCGTAAAAGGTTACCTGTACTTGCTCACCTCCCCGCACCTCTCGCCGCCGGCATGCACTGGGAGGACCCAGAACGATCGTGCATGATTAAGGGCGGTAGTCTGTTGCCTGGAGCCATCAAATTCCGAGTATGGCAACATGAAAGATGGTACTAGTAGCCGTTCGCCACAGACGTCTGACGAGTTGTTCCCCGGAACGCGCCTCAGAGGGTTATAGCAGCATCACAAGTGAGTAGCAGCGCGAGTTCGTGGCACCCTGACACAGTCTCCAGGACAGAGTTCTAGGCGCAGGACAGATCACGTCGGCCGGCATACTCAGTGCTCGCGAGGGAAGTGCCCTTGTTGGGAGGCAGGGCGACATTGATCCACCCGCCGCGTTCGCACCTTCGACTTCTCTTCCAACGTGCCTTCAGCGCAGTCGTGCAACCTCCACCCTAGTCGGCGCAACGCACGGCTCAAAGGAGGGCAACAGTAGAACGAGAAGGCGGCCAAAGACAAGGATGCCCAAAAGCGGCGTGGCCATC